ATTTGCCAGGTGATAAATTAGATTTAACTGCACTGCTGTTTTCACCTTTTAACTGCGTTAAGATGTGGATTAGAACATATCTGTTAGTCCATTGCTGATTATTTGAGCAGATTTCTTTATGTTTTTATTTGCTCAATTTGGAGTCTACAAAGAAAAAATGTGCACTGGGAATGGTCAGCTTAAGTGGTTCTTCCACAGGGCTGAACAGCACCACAAGATAGTGCCTCCCTTTTGTTTTTTCTCTGGAATTTAGATATTATGCCGAATAAATAAAAAAGTAATTAAAAAAAACTCTTTATTCTAGTAAACAAATCACAATATTTGGGTTCAGAAGTGATTAAAGACTATCCAAACTCCATCATCTTTATTACCTGAATCTATTGGTACAATGCAAACAATGCATATTTTATACCAAGACAACAGCCATGTTTACATGGACACAAGTAACCAGTTAAAAAACCTGACTGGAATAGAAATGCTTCACCTAAACACGGCAACTGGAAGATTTTGACCCAATCACACACCTTTGTGGCTTAACCTTCCTAGATACAGGTAGGTTACACTAATCCTTAATCAGAGAGGTGTGCATGTAAACACTTTTTCCAGTCAGGAACGTTCTCGATAAGTCGACTAGTCCAGTAATTGTTGCTAATTGTTTACATTTCTACAGCCATTTGCTACTATATAGAGCTGCAGCCTCGACATAGTTGTAGAAAAATGCAAGTCTGTTCATTTAGGACCTGATCTTTGTGTTACTATTATTCTTTTCAATCACAATGTATTCTTTAGTAGTTTTTTCAAACATTAATTTGTCCTAGTTTAGTAATATATGAACATCTTTTTAGTAAAACATTTTTACATCATATTTAATATCATAAAATATTTATTTTAAGTGGTTTTTTTAAACTTCTTCATTGTGTGGAGCATAACATGCAATGTTCATAATGCACATAATGCAAGGTGCCACCCGATTAAGCAGAGTTTAAAGTAAGATTCAGTATTGAACAGATTAATTAATAGTTTCAATGGCCGTTGTTTAGACAGTTTTTGACATTGACCATTAAACAATCCTCAAATTTAATTTGACATCTCGAGTCTTTTAGTTTTAGACTAATTTCTTTTTCTTGTTTAGTCGACTAAGAAATTCTTTGCCAGAAACTCCCCTACTTCCGATGTTCAAGGTGAAATTATCCTTACTGCGCATGTCTGTTACCATTTAGTGAAGAATGTAGGTGCATTCAAAAAGTGACAAATGTGAGAGAGGGGAGAAACTCTGCTCTACGATGCAGCAAGGTGACGATAAAAAAGGAGAAATCCAGACAGCGGAGTTTGTTTACAGCAATCACAACTAATATTTCTACTATTCCCAGAAAGTTAGAAAATTCCAAAATGATTTATTCTGTTTAAATGCTTGACGCATGATGCAAACGCACATTAGGATCAGATCACCTCAGTTAGGGTCAATGTAAACAGTGAAGCTCTAATTTGACACATGTAAACATGGCTACTGACACAGTGACACAAGCTGGGTAAAAGGAAGCTCACAGAGGCTCATCCATGCACACTTTAAATCCACAGCTGTCAAACAGTAATCCAGCTGACACTCATGCAATTTTCACCACATGCCAACACTGTTCAAACTGAAACATTATGATACTGCTGACAATAAACCGTTGCATAAATTCTCATCACCACCTAAAATTACACATCACAATTAGTCAAACAGTTACTCCTACACACAGAGTATGATTGCTGTGCCAAACCCTTTGAATAATCTGCACAGTCATACTGAGTAAGTGAATTCAACGCAGTAAATCCCATGCAGTCTCACACCAGCGGGGCAGATGGTCATGCTGATTCAAAGCCAGATGGTCACCCAGCTTTTTTAATAAGTGGATTATCATTAATGTTCAAGCTTTGATTCCTCATAATCTGTTTTTTTTTTTTTTTTAAGGCTCAACAGGAATGACTGAGAATTCAAACACAGACTGGGCACATGGAAAAGTCAAACTACATGCAGATCTGTTAGTGTTGTTATCACAGCACACTAACTCTACCATCCATTGTTCAATATCTCCCCATTTGTTGTCCACGCGGTCATCTAATTTGGTGTTCAAGCCATAGTATTTCTAGGGAGAGGCAAGAAACGAGGGCAAGATAAAACAGGTAACTTGTTCCATCTTTTTCTAGGGTGTGATCTGAAGCACAAATCGAGGACGATCACATTAAATCCAAAAATGTGCAAGGTAGAAATGAGGAAGAGTAAACCTACCTTCTGCACCTGAAAGATCTAAGCAGCAACACCGAACAGCGACAGAGGAGAAGGAGCGAAAAAACAAACAGGAAAGATTTAATTAAATCAACATAAAAAAAGATAAGTGATGGAAAAAAAACTGAAACACTGGAAAGTGAAAAGCAAAACAGCATGCAGGAAAAAGAGCACGAGGCTCGGGCACGTGAAGAACCCTGCTGCACAGCAGGAACTGACCCAAGAACACAAGTTCACCCGAGATTTAACTACCTGTGAGACGCACTTTCACAGCATTTTCCCATGCTCCTGTAACGTTGGTATCAGTGACGGAAAGCTGTGCCAGTGCCACAATGTCACTTTCACATAGTCTGTGTAACCACGACTACATAGCAGGGAAAACCACGTGACCTCGAGAGATCCTGGTACAGAGGGCTTCCAGAACCACAACCACAAGGTGGTTCTCCAAATAAAAATAACTCTACAAAACATCTCAAACTTTCCTGTTAGGTTAAGTAGATTTGACACCTAGGACAATAAACGTTATGCTTGTGTAGACAGAAACATAATGCATATGCAGTAAAATTAAAGATGCAGCCCTGAGCTGCATCTTGACTCATCTCAGAATAAAGAGAAGAAACAAAAGGGAAACAGTGAACCAGGTGAAAGATCACCATTTCAGTTACACTCTGCTTGTTTAATATGCAAATATAAAACAAGGAGTATGTGTGTTTTACGTTGTCACCAAAATGCTGCAGCTGAAGCTCACTGCTTTTCCAAGCTACTTGATGTTTTTCCCCTCAGGAAGCTGAAGGTTGCCTTAGATGATGATGAAGATGATGCTTGTCTATTGAAAAAAAAAGTCTGCTGATGTAAAAAAAACCCAAAACAAAACAATCCTCCTGAAATTACCTTCCAGATTTTAAAAGATATTTAGTTGTTAATGCTTTCTTAGTGCAAAATTGTTTGTTTGCACATTTGCATCATCAGCAGAGCTCTTGAGACCACACAGTACAGTGGAGACCCAGTCATTGTAATTTGGGTGATGAAAAATGAAAATACATCAGCAGCTTGTACAAAATGTCCAAAAACAAACAAACAAACAAAAACCCCTAAACCCTCTGGGGTCCAGGAACCTGTGCTCCTAACCCTTTGCTATAAGTGTTACATTTTTTATTTTTATTGTTGTTATTATTTTAATAAAAGCAGACTAAAGAGATCAAATCAAAGCAGGCAGGCTCAGACCCTCTTAGTGTTTCCTGTGGTCGACGTGCTGCGTCACTTGTGGGTGTTGCCATCTGAAATTTGGAATGTGTGAGGAAATTACGGAAAATTAAGGTAGTTTGACTATTCCGATAATTACAATTAACCTTGGCTTTATTTATTTTGGTAGTGGTTGTTATTCGAGATGTTCTGTGCTGACAAACTTTTAAAGTAAAATAAAGATCTCTGCAGCCTCCAATTTCCTTCATTCTTTGAGTGTTTTGCTGATGTTAACGTGACGGGACAAAACGGAAAGACTGCAATCAGATTTCCTAAAATCTCCCACATACGTTATTCCTTCACCAGTGAGACCAACACATTACCTGTTAAATTTAAAACAACCCTACACACTGCCTTTTTGAGTTTGTTTCAAAAACTCTGCTGACAGCAGGACACACTAAAAACACACCCCACCCTCAATGATGTACTTTCTACCCCAGTGCTTTAATCCAGATTTACTACCACTGTCTCCCTTGTATACTTGCCCAATAAATGGATTGGCCACTTTTGCAGTTCTGGTCATCACAAAGCGATTTGCAGATGACCGCTCTGCCCGCTGCATCGCTGTAGTAGCAGCAGCACTTTTAGGTGATCAGTGGAGAACGACCTCTTGCCTCTCACCTAATTCATAATCAACCTGAAATGGAAAGCCACGTCCCCACACCGATAACCTCACAGATATGCTGTCGACTCAGGAAAGTCATACTAAACTTTAAGAAGGTGAAAGTGAGTTATAAAGGTCAGATTTATTTATAAATATCGCTATAATTCATATCGTTGCAGAGTCACAGCTCTAATGTTCTGCACACATCTTCCAGAAACTTCCTCTGTTAGAACCTCAGACGCTTCTGACCTTGTGAACTTTGATCTTGCTTTAAGATCAAAGCAATAAGAATACTACAATCTAGTTAAAGAGAATTTGATTTGTGTCTAAAAATGAAAGAGTTGAACTCCAAATAGTGTAATATTGCACAAAAATGACCAGTGTCCAGTCTAATCAGATTAGGAAGTGACTGGAGGGATCTCGTCTGCTTACTTATCTCTTATTACGTGTCTGGACAGCCTATTAGCAAGTGAGCCAGGCACCGTCATAATCCCATTCATCAACCGAGTTACACAATCAGCCTACATGCCAGCACCGGTCCCCTTTGACTCACCGAGCGCACCTCCTTAATTGGAGGGGTTTTTGGGCGCCTGGTGAGGGCAGCCCTCAGCCCCCCTCCGGTAAGCCGCCGCCCGGCCGTCCTGCTGCCCTCAGGAAACCAGGAAAGGTCGCATCCCTCAGCGGTCACCAGGTAACACCATGACCAGTCACGAAGGCAGGCTGATGGTATGGCAGAACGCTGAGATTTGAGCTCAGAGCACTCGGAGCAACAAAGGTTTGAATTTCCCCTCGCGTTTAATGCTGCAAAGCTTCTGCTAATAATCCACTCCGAACTTCTGTCTTCAGCGTATGAGGAAACATCCAAAAATCCAGAAGGTGGCCGAGAGCACAGCAACCCATCGCTGGCGTCCACGATACGGCAACAACAACAATAACAACAACGACTGCTCCACTGCGGGCTGGACCACAGAGCACAACCTGCTAAGCTACTTTAAAACTCGGCTAAAAGGTTTAAAGGACACACAAACACACACGCACACACTCAGCTTGCCAGTGACCATTAATCTGGCATATGTGACCTGTGTGTGTGTGTGTACATGCAGAAGATTATTGTTCAGGCTTGACACCTGTGTTTTGATTGGTGAAATAACAATAAATTAATATTATAATTACTAATAATCTTAAAAATCTATCTTTTAAAAATAGGCATTCCATATTGACGAGGAATAAAAGGTTCAGCTTGATGTAAAATACTAATTTCTGTGAATAACAAACATCAGACTGTCTCAGTATAATGCAGTGACCTGGTATTAATATGGACGCTGTCCCACCTAACCATTACTGAGGCCACCAGTCTGTGCCATTGAGTGTCTCCTACAGCGTAATAACACCCTCAGCCACACTGAAAACACAGCCCAGGAATGGTTCGGTGACCAAAAATGCCCACGGTGATGATCGGTATCCAAGTGTCTGTGACATGGATGAAACTGAAGGATCTGCTGCTCATGTTGTGGTTATGAGGTTCTGTGTTTATACCCTGAGGGGTCAAAGGTGTTTGGGTTGCACAAGGGGGGGCTTCACAGTAACCCAGGCCATAAGGCACGTATAGGTGCCTGCTCAACCAGTGAGCTAAACTGGCCCTCATTTTGCTCTGTGTCTGTTTGCCTAAAAGTTTATGGAATTTTTCTTTTAATGTGGTGGTTGCTGAAGCTGCGGAAGCACATGCATGTTGTCTACTAAAATCATAGTGAACTCTGGTCACACAAAGTTTAATGTTGACAGTCACTTGAAATTATGAAGGCACTTATTGTTTTGGAGCAAACACAGCACTCAGTGACTGCAGGAGTTGATGGCAGCAGCCTCCATCTGCAGTACGATGCACCCACAAAAACTGCTCGAGGGACGTAGCAAAGTAGCTAAGAAGCTTTCAACCTCCCCACATCTCAATCTGATACAGCATCTGTGGCTCCAGCCTGAAACCCACAGAATCCAAAGGGGTGTCTGCTAACGTCACAGTGCGAGACAGCCAGAACACCCCCAGAGATTCCATGTCCGTGTGCTCAAGCAGCACAGGAAATAAAGTTTATCGACTGAATTTCCAGAAATATGCTTCAACAGTACAGAAACTGTGACTGACGTCTGCCACAGCAGACAATTATTTCACTGTCATTTATTCTTCTGCTTTTTTAAAACAAACAAATAAAAAAATCCCTTCACACAGAAACTGAGCAACTTTTGAGTTGAGTTTCCACAGGTGCTAGGCAGTCTGTAGTCTGTTTATGTGTTCAGGATTACTACTGACTAATAATAGTGAGCTCGGAAAAGCGAGACTCCCCGTGGTTCAGATCAGAGGTGCTCGACCAAAGAAAGAAAAACTCATGTAACAGCACTGAGCTCGCATCCAAACACCTTTCAGCGCTGCACCTGATTCAACACAGCACGGACGGCAGCACCGACACTGGAGCTGCCGAGGGTCCAGTACAGAGATTTATGGGGTTCTTTGCTCTTTTTGCGAGAGATGTACAAGTTTTCCACAACAAATTGGTAAAAATGGACATGTTGAATAAAAACAAAACAAAGATTCAATTCACTGCTTACTTCCCAGGAAGGTAGTGCATCACATTAAGGGCCTTCTAATATCTGGAATAAGTTATGTCAGTGTTATACTATGTACTGCATTTAGCTACCCAAAGAGACAAAGCCACAAAAATATAAATGCAATAACAAACAACTTTGCAGGTTAGACTTTCTGACACTTTAAACGTGTACAGTTTATATCAGCTAATGCAAATTACTGTTGTGATTGTTTTGGAAGAAGCCCTTTACATGTGACGGTTAATTAACAGGAAATGTGCACCATGGTGTCTGAAGAAAAAGCTCTAATTTTATGTTACTCAAAAACTTTCCACGTGTCAATATCTGTATCAGCCTGGGCTCAGATTAACTTTAAAAGGTTTTGTTGAAAGAATAATTGGTGAGAACTTTGGAGGACTTCCTCGTTTGCTATGGTTATTTAACCTCAGTATCAGCTGTTGGATGTTTAGCCAACCTAGAAACCTTGTAACTAAGGAATTAGTTTGTTACGACATGTTTGTGTATAGGTGGGGGCGCTGTTTTAGTACATAAATAATAGATGTAATTTCCCTTTCCGAAAGCCTTAAAGCTGGATTCTTTAACATGTCCAGCAGGGGTTGACTCCTTAGATCCGCCCTTATCTGGTTTCAAAAGGCCAAGATTGCTAACATGCTCAGCTAGAGGCTACAGAATGGGAGCCCAAAAATTAATGAGTGACTTCCTGCTTGTTACATCCATCTTATTTATATGGTAACAGTCTGTGATTCGAATCAACTCATAAATTCAATGTGTTGAACAACATCATCTATAGTTGTTGGAGGTTTTTTAATGAAGGAATTTTAAAAAAACTCAATCAAACGTCAGTGTCTAAACTACATTTTACATCAATCCAAATGAAATCCACAGGAATGTTCTTTCTATGAACGGCAAGGATTGCTTGGATCTCGACAGCAGTGCTCGACAGAAGTGCTGCAGTCACAGTTCCTCTGACCTTTGACCCACAGGATCAAAGAGTCAGCTTAAGAGCAGAAAGCAGAGCTGACCGGAAATGCTTTCGGTCCAAACAAAACCAAGTGTCTAGTAACAACAAGTCTGCTTAAATCCTTTTGTTTTTCAGAACAGTGTTAGCCATTTGGCAGACAGCAGAAATACTTGTTTAACTCCATCAGTGCTCCGCTGTTTAGATTCAGCATGAAATATTAAACTCTTACGGATGTAAAATCTTGCATATCTGTCCTAACATGAAGTTTTGTATTATGCCATATCGTGTGTCACATGTCATGGGGTATTTTGACTTGTATACCTCTTTCTGTTGTCGCTCCAGCTCCTTCATACGGATCTCTCTGGCCTCTGCCCTGGCTGCCCTCTTTGCTGCCAGCCTGGCCTCGGCCTTGGGATGGAAAGGGGGGGGGCAAATAAAAACAGAGAGAGAGAAAATTAAAAATGGAGAAGTGAGATAGCAGCAGACTTAGTCCAACTCACACACATCACATCTATAAATGTTCAACACAAATGTGAACAGAGCTCCAGTTCCTTGACAGAGTTACTTTGGGAACTTTGTGACACATTGTTGGGAAACAGAAATAAAAACAGTCACACAGCTGAAGATTAATATCACAGGGGGACACTACCAGCCCCTAAAAACCAGTCAATAAAGCAGTGCACAAACACAGGACATCAAGAATCATTTGAACTCTGAACAGATCTCATGGACTTTATTTAGAAGCAGACGATCTAGTGAGACTCCTAGGCCCCCGTACATTTGAAAGACTTGCCTCTGCTCCACTCAGCACTCAGGCGAGAGCAGGGTCTTTCCCTTAAAAGGATCTCTCTCTCAGAGTGTGTGCTGCAAGTGTGTGTGTTACAGTGTGCGTGTGTGTAAGCATTTCCTTCCTCTAACTTGTGGTAGACACTACACGGCTGCAGCCTCTAGGCGGGGTAACTGTAACAGCTCATACCGCTGCACTAATGCATTTCCCCAATGTCAGTCACCATGACTGAGTAACAGGAAAACACTAAATACAGAGTTGGTTTCAGAAGAAAGCACGATCACACACACATGCACGCTATCAACAAAGTTCAGCTCAGGACTCACACACACGTGTCTGCATTCATTAAAAGCTTCACCAGGGGATACAAACAAGCTTGGCCAAATCTGTGTTGTCATCAACAACACTGACGTCCTGCACCGCAGATAACAGAAGCACATTCATCTCAGTCTTAAAATGGGAGCAAACTGTCAAGCTAGATTCCTGCGCTGCCGTTAGCAAACTTCAGCCTCTGTATGAGATGAAATGAGGGTCTTATCAAAGGCACAGATCATTGTTTTGGCCCCCAGCATCCTTTACATGTTGTTCTCCAGATGCTTCCATCAGGGCAAAGGTTTGAGCTCCCTGAAGGCACCAATAATAGACACACTGAGTAATTTCTTCCATATGCTGCTTCTTTAAACCAATTGTGGCCCTTTCCCTCTGCCAGCAGGAGCTTGTACTGTATTTCTGTAATCTGTTGGACTCGAGTATATAAAGCAAACGGCCCCTCAGGGATATTAAAGCTTTACGCAACATCTCTGCAGGCCTCATGTTCACGCTCAAACTGCGTCACTTAGTCCATTGTTTTCACTTTTTAGTTTTAACAATTTCCTCTCCTTTGCACAAAGAAGAGAAGATGCTCTCTGAATATGTACATTAAAAGAAAGAACAGCATTTGGTCTGTATGTCAGCATGTTCGCTGCGTATCAGCAGTGCTTGCTGAGCAAACTTTCTGAGTTATTCAGTCACTTTTATTCAGCTTGTATTCATGCCGTCAGCAACACTTGCACGCTCGCTTTGTTATTATCCTGCTTTATTATCCAGGTTTTTATATTCCTGTATCATTCTGAAATTGTCCAGGTTAAAGTTCATGTGTCTTTGATGCCTTGCCATGACACAGAGTCTCATTTGGGAAGTGATGAGTGGGCAAAACTCCCACTTATGTCACTTGACTATTTTATGATTCAGCGTTTAATTCTGTTTGTTGCATTATTTAAACAACTTTAAAGTGCACACTTGAGGGGGAAAAGAAAAATTCAGTGTGAGTGCTTTCTGCAGGAAACCTTGTACAACATTTAGACATTTATTAATCTCAAAACTAATAAAACACTAAACTGACTGCAGCATTTGCGAGGTGTGGTGATGTGGTGAAGCTCACCAAAAACAGACACACAGCAGTTCCTCCCAGGCTTCCTCCACAGTAAAGCTGTAGTTATATTACAGAAACTGAAACTGGCATCTGTTTGTTATTCATGCTGGGTCATGGATGCCGCTGGTTCACCAATAAGCCGTTTTTGACAGCTGTCATTATACGAGCAAACATCTGGATTTAAAGCTGACTTGATCAGCAAAGCTGCAGGTGAAAATATGAACTACAACTAACTGAAGTGCTGTGAGCATTCATGACTTACTTAAAACCTGCTTTTTTAGTGTGTAGATCCCCGTGATGCTATGGCCGCTTGATAGAAGTTATGAACTAGGAAGTGTACAGAATGACTCACACAGCGACCATCTGCTTGAATCTGCTCTTAAGATGTCTTGGAGGTATGGAGCCGGGCAACAGAGGATTGCCATCAGCCATCTGAACAGCAGGCTGGTCGCTGCCTCAGTAGAGATGCTTTTTGCCCTGCAGTGAACTGTGTCTATTTGCCGAGCACCTCCTGCACATGAATGCGAGCCATGCCACCATAATGCATTCCAGGACCTTCCAACTCAAAAGAATTGTCCCGAATAAGTCTTGCCAAATAACTAAACATTGTTAAATAATGATAAAAAAAAAAGCCCAAAACAAAATGCCTTAATTATGAAGAACTTTTTGAAAGGCTCCTAAAAATGATGATGCAGGAGTCTATATTGACTCTGTGCTGCACTCACTGCCTGCGTAAGTGCCATTTCCTCCAAGTCAGTGCTCACTGTCCTTGGGACTCTTTGCATTTCTACCAAAAGCTTTAAGACACAAATCCATCTAAAACACTCCCTGTGCTGACAGCTACACTATGTATGCACACATAAACTCCCTCTTAGACAGTTTCTCTTCCATGAAATTAGAGGTGGCAGAAGAGTAACATGGCATTAGTCCGTTTGACCTCGAGCAGCATAAATACAGCACTTAAAAAAAACTTCCATTAGCATTGGTACGCAGTTGCTCCATCAAACAGCAGGCTCTGGGGTGAAGTGCTTTTTATCCACTCTGTCAGTGAGGTTGTTCAATGGTTCAACCACCAACTTAATTCAGATCAAAGACAAGAGCAAAACAGACCTGCAACAGGCAGATTAGAGAGCATGAATCGCTGGAAATATCTTTATGGGTGGGCACATAGTGCTGTACACAATGCAACACAATTCAGTTCAATAAGTGTCAGAAAAATGTGAACAATTGGATACTGCATTAGACTTTCCCGTCAAGTCACAAAGGTTGCCTTGCAGTCAGCATCTATTGTGTAGACCAATTTGTTTTACTGGTGCCTTTAATTACAGGCCAGCTGGGAAAACTACATATAACCGGTCAGATGTTTGTTTGCTGTATCACACTCATATTTGCACTGGCTAAATATTAAAAGATGGTGTGATGAAGGGATGAAATCAGCATCGGCACTGGTTGAAGTGTCCCTTTCATTTAATTTCAGTCTGCAAATTTCGTTTTTCTGACTCTACTCAAGTAGTTTTGCATGATTCACAGTTCAAAAAAAGTCCCTTAACATAGTTTATTCTATTTGAAATGAGTCGTTTTAGCTCCTCCCTCACGTTAAATACATTTTCTTCTGATTGGTTACATATCTTAAAATGTTGAACAGCCTGTGGGTGGGGCTTCTGTGCTCACAGTCAGAGCTTTGTGCTCATATTTTGGGGTATCCCCTCAATGACATCATACAGAGACAAGAGAAGGAAAATTGTTTAAAGCTGAGTCTGAGGGCTAAACTTTAGGCTCATGGTCATTACTGGCATTTATCTTCATTACTGGAAACTCTGGTCATGCTTAATATGAACATCCACTATCCACTTTCATTCAATTCCAACTTGTAGTCTATTTCTTTGATTAATTTATATTAAAGGTTATCAATCCTATGTCTAAAATGGTTTATACTCCCAGGATTTGTGATATGTTTTAGGACAAATGAGTGTATTATGCTTGAGGTGTTCGCCTAGCTTGGGAAGCTCGGGAATTATTAATTTCATATCGAAAAACAGAAAACTCACTCATTTCAGGATGAGGTAAGAGACCTTCTTCTTTCATCTTCTTGTTCAGTTTTAAAACTTTGAAAGTCAAATTTCAGACACAAACTGCTTAAAGGAACCTGCCTTTCAAAAACCCGCCCTTCAAAAACCTTCACAACACTAAGAGGTGTGAATTATTTCCTCATGACCACATTACTGCCTTCCCTTTTACTGTATGGCTATAGAGTGCAGTACTTAAGCACACAACAGCTTAACTCAAGACACACACAAAAAAGCAAAAGCTCAAGTAATAAACAGTTAAACGGGGTACCAGCTTTCAGGTAAAGTAATCCAACATGATGCGAGCAGCTGTAACAGACTGGGTCATCTTTCCATGCGAGTGTATGCTGCATCAGCCTCCAGTCAAAAAGATGCACATAACTAGGCCAAAAGACACACTCATACCTCCTTTCTCTTTCCTCCTCTAAGGCTATTTATACCGACCTACATGGACTCTGGTTCTATCAAACTGTTCTAATTCAGCATGATGTCAATGGGCTGTCCGCCCTCCTGAGAGACAGTGAGCTAGTTCAGTGCAAAACTGGGATGCTCTAAAGTGCTCTAAAGTGATTTGGAGATGCGACAGAAGAAAAAAAATACACAAGTTTAAGTGGGAATACTTCACAGTGGAAAAATCATAAATTACTATTTTGGTCAATTATGGCAATCTCAGATATTTAATGTAGCTATTCATCACTTTAACAAGCATTATGGATTTAACTTTGTTTTGTTTGTTTTGTTATAAACCCTCACATTTTAAATAGAATAATTTGGGTTGAAAAAGAGATGACAGTTCACACACAGTATTTTCATAATCTTTCCTTGATTGATGAGCGCAATTTATTGTGTAAGACCAAATGAGAGATTTGGAGAGAAAATTAATGCAAAAATAATAATAATTTTATTCCCATAATCATAGTTTCACAATCATTAGAAGCCACAATCGTAGCTGCAAAAAACCCCAAACCAAAACAATGATTCACCCCCTAGTTTAATGAAGGTTCATTAAGACATACTGCGTAAAGGAAGATTATATAGCCTCCTTCTAGCTCTAAGTTGCAGAGATTGTTTTTTTTT